GGGTGGGAACATCCCTGTCCAGCGGATCTGCCACCTGGATCAAGCCAGGTTTTCCCATCTTTTCTCCGAGAACCCAGGCCTGGCCTCGGGTGGGATCCATCCCGTGGCCTCCTGAGCCGGGGAGGGAGGAGGTGCCCCTTCCTGTGAAAACACTGATTTGTGGGTTTAGGATCAAATCTGGGGCAAGCCAGCCAAAAATTGGCTCTCCCCCAAAATTCCCCAAGGATGGGAACGTGCTCCTGGACATCCCCACGTTGCCTCCACATCGCCCACGACGATCCAAGTGGGAAGAGCAGCCACACTCACACTTGATTAACTTCACCACTTCCAGGTGGGAGCTGTTGGTCACCATCGTCCCATTCACCTGGGATGAGGGAGAGAAGGGCTGGGAGAGGCTGGGAAGGGGAAAGGGGAGCGGGAATTCCCGTGGGGAAGGGGCTGGGAACGCTCACCTTGACGATCCGGTCGCCCTCCTGCACGCCGGCTCTCATGGCAGCCCCACCTGGGACACGGGGAGGAGTCAGGATGGACCCAAGGGATGGCTCCCGGTGCTCCCAGATCCTCCTGACACATTCCAAGGGGGAGCACCAGGCACAGAATTCCCGTGGGATGAGCCCGGTGACCGAGCCCTGGGTGCTTCACAACACCCCTTGTGAACATCCAGACAATCCCTGTCCTGCCCATCTCAGCCTTTCCCACCCGCCTTGGGATGGAAGGGGGCTCCCAACCTGTTGTCCCCCCATCCAGGTTGGCTCTGACACATCTGGGAACACCTGGATCCAGAGGCAGGAGCAGGGCCCTGTTCTGCCCCCCCTTCCCTGCCCCTGCTCCTTAAAGGAGCTGCCGAGGTCGGAATCCAGGAAAAATCCACTTTTTTTTTTTCCAGAGCCCAAAACCAAGAGGAAAAATGTTTCCACTCGGTTCAACTCCAAGCCAAGAGCCTGAGAGATGCAGGGAGTGGAAAGTCCTCGGAATTGTCGGGATCCTTTTGGGTTTGATGGTTCTTGGGAAACGAAGGGAGCGGGGAGAGGAGTTGGGAATGTCCCCAACTTCCAGGGATAACTCCAGCTGCAGGAGAGTTGGAGCTCCCAAGCCTTTTTCCCTGCCCTATATCCTCGTTTTTTCCTGGCTTTCTGGCCAGAGAGGGGAAGGGGGAGGAGTTGGGAACATCCGCTGGAAAAGAAGCAGCTCATTGTCTGTTTGAACTGCAGCTCCAAAGTCACGGCTCAGGAGCCAAATCCAGGTTTTCCAGGGGCTACAACGGGGAATTCCCACCTCCAGCCCGCCCAGCAGCTCCCTGGGATGTACAGGGAAAGGGTAATCTGGGGGAGCTTCCATGGAATCATGGAAGGATTTGGGTTGGAAGGGACTTAAAAATCTCATTCCACCTCCTGCCGTGGGCAGGGACACCTTCCATGGGCCAGGAGACTTCCCGTCCAACCTGGCCTTGGACACTTCCAGGGATGGGGCAGCCGTGGCATAACCTGTGCCAGGCTCTCAGCCCCCTCCCAGGGAAGGATTTATTCCCAATATCCAGGGAATCCTGGAATGGTTTGGGGTGGAAGGGACCTCAAAGCCCATCCACCTCCCACGAGCCCGGGATGCTCCAAGCCCTGTCCAACTGGGACACTCCCACCAGCCCAGCCTGCTCCAAGCCCCATCCAACCCAACCTTCCCCAAACCCCTTCCCCAATCCCACCTTTCCATCCCCTTTGGCCACACCTCACCCGTTCCCAGAGCGAGACCCCCCCCTCCCCAAAACCGGCCCCATCCAGGGAGGAGAATCCCCAAACCCCTCCTGGATGTGTTTTCTCCCCCAGGACGTGGCCTGGGGTGGGTGGGGGGATCCCTGAGGGATCTCCTGCCCTTCCAGGACCCCTTGCAAGGGCTGGGATGTCCCACCTGGGCGCACCGACTGCACCAGCACCACGCGGTCGCCGCTGACGGTGAAGCCGAAGCCATGCTGGTCCTTCTGGATGATGACACAGCGCTGGACCAGCCCTGCAGGGGGACAGGGAGAGCAGGGGAAACAGGGAAACAGGGAGAGGAGGGAAAAGAGGGAAAGGAGGGAGAGAAGGGAAAAGAGGGAGAGGAGGGAGAAGAGGGAGAGCAGGGATAGGAGAGAGAGGAGGGAAAAGAGGGAGAGGAGGGAGAGGAGGGAGAAGGAGAAGAAGGAGAAGAGGGAGAGGAGGGAGAGGAGGGAAAAGAGGGAGAGGAGAAAGAGGAGGGAGAGGAGGAAGAGGAGGAAGGAGAAGACGGAGAGCAGGGAGAGGAGGGAAAGAGGGAGAGGAGGGAAAAAAGGGAGAGGAAGGAGAAGAGGGAGAGGAGGGAGAGGAGGGAAAAGAGGTAGAGGAAGGAGAATAGGGAGAGGAGGGAAAACAGGGATAAGAAGGAGAGGAAGGAGAGGAGGGAGAGGAGAGAGAGGAGGGAGAGGAGAAGAAAAGGGAGAGGAGGAAGAAGAAGGAGAGGAAGAAGAGGAAGGAGAGGAGCAGGAGGTGGCCGTGAGGCTCCTGGTTTGGCCCCTCAGCCACTCCCAGTTTCAGGGGCCGTGGTTGGAGCCACATGTGACCTCCCCCAAAACTCCTAGGACCCCCAAACTGGGGTGAAAAGGGACCTCCCACACCTGAGACCCCCAAATTGGGGTGAAAAGGGTCCCCCAAACCCCCGGGAGCCCCAAATTGGGGGTGAAGGGTCCTTTGGACACCCATGACCCCGGGGGTCACTGTCTGTCCTTGACCACCAGGTCCACACCCCCGAGATCCACCCTATGGATGAATCCCTTGGGTTTGGAGCCCAACTCCCAAAAACTTGGTGGTGCCTCAGGATGGCCCTGGCCCTGCCTGGAAGGTCCTGTCCTTCCCAGACGCTTCCCCAGGTGACTCCAGGGGCTGTTCCTGAGGTCCAGGTGGCCCTGGAGGCCGAGGGAAGGGGGAATTCCCACCTGTGGATTCGGAGGAGTCGGAGGAGGGCTGGCGGTGGTGCCCGGGGGACCTTCGCTCCGAGGAGGAATCCCCCAGAGAGGACAGGCTGCTCAACCTGGGGGGGAAAGAGGAGGAGGAGAGATCAGGGATGGCCAATCCCAGGAATCCCTGAGGCTGGAAAAGCCCTCCAAGGTCACCCCATCCACCCCTGTGCCCCATCCCCACCTTGGCCCCCGGCCCAGAGCACTCAGTGCCACGGCCAGGCCTTCCCTGGGCACCTCCAGGGCTGGGGAAACCTCCAAACCTCCCTGGGCAGCCCCTGCCAAGGCCTCACCACCCTTTCCATGGGAAAATTCCTCCTGATTTCCAACCTGACCCTCCCTTGGCACAGTTTGAGGCCTTCCTTGGACACCCCCAGGGCTGGGCACTCCAAACCTCCCTGGGCAGCCCCT